AGGACAATCGTATAGAAATTAATGATAGGTTCGACCACCAACAGAGTATATTAAATAAGTTAGACTCAAAACTTGACAAGAATATTGAGGAATTACGTGCAGATCTAAGTTTCGCCAGTGTACAATGTCAATCCGACCAACAGAAACTTCGWACTGAGTGTAAGCAATATACTGATCRTCATATAGCGAATTATAAACGTGAAACAAAGGGAAAACTGTCAAGCATAACGGAACGAGTATGTCTAGTCGAGGGACAGGCAGCACGTCTTGCTGCGGTGGAAAATGCAATCCAAACAATCCAAACACACGGGACTACGTCAAGTGTTCCACGCATGTCAACATTCGGTCCAGCGCTCATAAACGATAATGTGAATACATTTTCACGACCTGAACGTAGCAATGTATTTTCGTCGACGGTAGTTCACAATACCTCAGTACCTATAACAACCACTAGCACAATGAACAATAACAGTAACAGCTCTTATCGTTTTGGTATACCAGGTACGATGACGTCTCAAGAGTTTTCCAGGATACCTCAGCCCTATAATTTTAACCAAAGTTTCRCGAGTCATACAGAAAAAATAAAGGATGTCGTCCCGGAATTTAACGGTAATATTGATCCGATACACCCCGAAGAATTTCTTGAAAAACYGAACAATTATTTTCAAAACMAAATGTTTACCGACCTAACAAAAATTAACGCCGCATGCAGTAGACTCAGTGRTAGAGCCAAAAAGTGGTCGTACACCCTAGGCTCCATAGTCCTGTTTAACCATTTTGTTGAACGTTTTCGACGACATTTTTGGTGTCCGATGAAACAAGAAAAAGTACGTAATGAATTCTACCGCCCACATTATCACCAAGATACATCGAATCTACAAGAATATACCATTGATTGGATCAACAAAGTTCGGTATTTACACCCTCCTATTCCAGAAACGGAGAAGATTGAAAGACTACTATCGCATTATCCTCGATCAATTTCCAACACAATTCGTAATCTTCGACTACAAACAGTGGATGAGTTAATTAATGAAATCAGTTATTATGAGTATACTCTCAAGCCGACGAATAGCAATCAAAATAATCAACACACTATCAATAGTGCGACAAATCGTGATGRTAATGAGGTCAATAGTGCTAACAATTCATCTCAAGATAACGGTAACATAAATGAAAATTCTCGATATCAYGGTCGTAATTTTAATTCTAACTATCAATCCAACAGCCGTAATAATAACAATAGAAACTACAATTATCGTTCTAATTACCAAAATTCAAAYCGCCACGAAAATAGTAACGGTACTGCCCCACCAACGACAAATGTGAGCCGTGGAATAACCGATAACCAGGGAAACGGACCCGACCAGGGAAACGCGAGCGGACGGGCTTCGTAAGGACCGAGGTCACGTCCCCTCTACAGTCCTCATACCATAAATATACTAACTCATCCATTAACAGAAAATCTACCTCAACCCGAAAAACCGTCGTTTATTCCGGAAATGTACATTAAAATTTTTAATCACGAATACGCTGCCTTATTAGACACCGGTGCGTCAGTTTCAGCCATGTCTGAAATTTTCTTTAAGTCTCTACAAAAAAATTTTCCAAAACAGAACCTACCTATGTTACCAATTACTGGCATCACTGTTTCAACCGCCCTCCTAGGTAAGAATAAGAAAATCCATACTCAGACCTTTTTGGAAATTGACGTGCACGATATTAAATCAAATGCGATATTTTTAATTGATCCTAGTCTATCGACGCAACTTATTCTTGGGAAACGATTGGTTAACCGATAACAAAATTATAATTAATTACAATGATAAAATGATCTCCTCTCCGTTTTGGGATGATAGTCCAAACGTAATTATTAAATCCGATAACATTAATCCTCGTATCGACACCATATTAGATAATATGTCTCTTAACGACGAATATAATCACGTTGATAACGAAACCAGTGTATCGTACCCATTAGAATACAAAGGTGACACCGGCCTATTAYCGATAAACCATCAAAATGCCATTAGTAGTAATCAAATGACCGGTAGCATGTTAGACACCGCTGAACAACAACAATTAGACCAATTAGTGGCTGCTTATCAAGAAGTATTTCAAGACCGGCCGTCCTGGGTGGCATAATTACTTCTCGTATCAATTTAAGGTCATTGACCACAAGCCATTCCGATTAAAACCATATCCCGTCCCATTTGCACGGCGTCCCGCGATACAACGCGAACTAAATCGAATGTTGGACTGGGGGGTGATTGAGCGGTCTGAGGCAGCGTATAACAATCCAATTTTGAGTGTTCAAAAAGCCAATGGGTCGATACGTCTCTGTCTCGATGCGCGTAAATTGAACACGGTGATTGAACCTATACGTGACTCATCCCCACCTATAGATGAGATACTCGCAAAAATTCATTGACAAAAAGTACTTCACTACTCTCGATTTTATTTCGGGATATTGGCAGATACCTTTGGACCCAGATRTCCGGAAATACACCAGCTTCTTGTACGACGGTCGCTCATACCAGTTCTGCGTGGTACCGTTTGGGTTAAATGTTTCAAACGCAGCGTTTGGTAAAGGACTTGAGATGGCATTATCTCCTATGGCCCCTGAATATATTAGTTCGGTTGTAACGTTCGAAATTATATATCAGTACAGTGCTGGCCAAGTTATAATGTTCCCTCCT